AGATACTCTTAAATTCTCTGTTCCTCAGTTTTTTTCAACAGCAAAATAAGGATAATAACAATTCTAATCTTAGAGGATGATTATACTGATAGCGATAATGTGTTTATGAAGAGGTTAGCATGTAGAAAATCATAAATGTGTTCATTATTAAAGAAGAAATATATATGTTACTATTTTTCATTTTTTAAGTGAACCATAATGTTATGGGGCCTATTTTATTTAAATATCATACAAATATCACAGTAAAAGAGGATTAAGTGGAAAAGTTTTGGTGTTGAAGTATGGAATGATATTACCAAATATTTAGGGGTTACCAAATGCAAACAACATAATCAAGCTTACTCTTTTGTTATTAATCAGTAGCATAAAATGCCAAATCTTTTCATAGGTATTTTTTGTCCCTTGAAAGACAAAATATCATCACATCATTTGGTGTTTTTATTCTTAAACATGAGTGCTAATTAAGTTGTAACATACTCTGTACTATCTTCTTATTTTTTGTGCTTAAAAAAAAGAAAGAGGAAGAAAAAAATGAATGAACAAAAGAAAGAAGAAAGAAAGAAAAAAGGAAAGGAAAGAAAGAAAGGAGAAAGGAAGGAAGGGAGGGAGGGAAGGGAAGAAGAAGGAGTGAGGGGAGGGAGAGAGGGAGAGAGGGGACTGAAAGCCAGAGAGGAATGAGAGTTAAGAGTGGGGCAGTGTCAGAAAAAACAGGCAGCAAGTTGATGTTAAGCCAGTACATTAAGTTTCATGGAATCTCTTTCATTCACTTAAATAAAATTTCTATGTCCTCTCCATCATTGAGTCATGACAGACTTTCCCATTATGATTTTTAAATTATAACTTTAAAATTATTTTTTATTTCTAATTGATAGGTAACATCATTTATATTTATGGGTGCTCATGGTATTTTGAATACACTGTGAAATGGCTAAATAAACATGTATTTCTGCACATAGTTGTCACTGGGCCAACACTTTAGAGCTCCATCTGCCCTCCTTTTTGGGAAATGGATAGATTATTATTATAATCACTTTATTAAAAAATTTGGCCTTTGATTTCTTAAAAATGTTTTCAAATACTTCAATCTGTACTCCTGCCCCTTCTGAGTATATTCTCTGTAGGATCCAACTCAATGATTTAAGACAATTTGCTGACAAGAAATTCTGAGAAACCATTATGAAAAAGAAGGTAGCAAACAATCTTTGAATATATTTCCCAATTTAAAAAGCTTTCATGACATAGAACATTTCAGGCTAAGAATGTTAAAAATTTATCATAGTTTCAGTAATTGTAGTTTCCTCTAGAACTGTGGCATGCCATGGAATCATTTGTAAAGCGTGTATTTTGTTTGTCACTCCATAGGAAGCTTGCCAGGCAATACATTTAATTAAGAATGTGAGGAAGGGGATAATTGTGGTCGGTCCGAGTATATTATCATTACTTTTAAGTTCTAAAACTTATTGTTACTTTTAAAATAGTGGTTTACTAACAAGGATTGTGTTTAAAGCTAGAGGTAATTTCCTTTTTATCAGCCCAGGGTTTTTATGGCAAGAACTATATTTATTTGAGAGGAAAGGTATATTAGCTGCATCCCTTAGATATAACTCTTTGTCAATTGTTTCAGTTACCAAGAGCCTTAGCTGTTATCCTTAGAAAGAACATTTTCCCATTGTTTAAGACCTTGAAAATTGATGCATTACCTTTTGGGAGCTTAAACAGTTTAATTTAAGTTTAACTTTCTCTGGAAATGAATAGAAATAATGAAATGCAATGTCTTTCTTGAACATAATCATTTACATAACTTCTATTCTTTCTGGATGTGTAAATTTGATAACAGGAGTTCAAGTATGGTAATGATTAATGTTGATTTTATTTAAAAATTATAAAGCAACTTATGTCAGTGATTCAGAGAAGTGTGATGATAACCATTTTTGTGGCCAGATTTTTACTGTTTTGGACACATTTCTCCATTTGTACAGGAAAACTTGCTCATAATGATTTTGAGAGACACCATGGGAAAAGGACAAGAACAGAAAGAGAATGTTTTTGGTACACAGTTCACAAATATTTTTGGTGTTCAAATTTTCTGGTGTACAATATTCTGATCATTTAATTTGTGTGAACTGCCTCTGTTCTTTATCATTACATAGTACTCCTCTTCTTAGTGACAATATTCCCCTAATAACAAATCTATGAGATTTATCACTAAGATATCTATTGTCAGGGACAATAAAAGGTGTAAATGAAACATAGACAAAGACTACCCTCACTCCCCTTCTCTTGTAAATACTCTATATCTTTTTCTCACAAAAACCTTTTCTGTCTGACTGGTTTATACTCTCCCATTTTCCTTATTCCTTGCTTCCCTTGAAGAATTTTAAACAATGTTTTTTGAACCATTCATTCAGGTTCCCATTGTGTGGTCTGAAAAAAACAACAAAAAAATTCAGTAATTAAAACTTTGAAGGCCAGTGTGGTAACATAGATAGTTAGGAAATAGGGACAGTCATGGTTTTAAGTGGATGAACAACTACGTTAATTCACATAATCATTTGTCTATTTTTCCAGGATAAGGGTGATAGAAAAATATTTCCCTACCAAACCCCAGTCTAGTTGTGCACAACTCCTATCTTTAAGAGTGCAGGTCCAAGTAAAAAGATCTACATATGTATATATTTGAATACTTTTGCACAGTATCACGCCAAAGTCAATATCAATTTTCTTCTGCAGAAATGCTGCTCTTATATCAATACAGTCAATCACTAAAAATAAAAATAGGAAGTTGCTCCAAAAATGAAAAAGTGGAGTTTTTCCTACTTTCTCTACCTACCCTGAAAATCTTGAAAGCAATCCACCCTTCATTCGAAGGCATTGTGAACCAAAGTTTCTTAAAGTATCAGCAACAACTTATATTTTTGAATGCTTGCTTTGTTTAAAGGAGTGTCTGGAGCACTTTGAAGAAACAAAGTCATGCAGTTCTCAGAATGTCTATAAGATGTAGGTACTCCTACTATCACTGAAGAGAAACAGAGGAGTAATTTATCTTACTTGATTTAAATATAATAGAAAATGGCCTCTTTGGGAAATAATATAAGATAATCTGAATCCAGATTCATACTCATATATTGTGATATACTGAATTTTCTTTTTATTCTAGAAGAAGAAATTGCTTAAGAGTAAGAAAATAGGCTTAGGAAGGATAAGGAGGCAAAGATAAGTGATTTAAGGAAGAATAAATGAATGGTATTCTTATAGGCATTACTGATTTTCCAGAGCCCTCTGAGGTTAGAATTCTCTCTCTTTTTAATCTACAGATAAATTCCTCCCTTTCATGATCAAATTAAGGCATTCAACAGATAGAATTGACGAGTGAGCAAAACAAGGTTACAAATAGATGAGAAAATCTTGTGAAGACAACCAGGTCACCACTTTAAACTTCCAACTGGATTGTGCTCTTGGCCAATTCAAGCTGTGTACATGGTTTGACAGCTGTGCAGTAGCTGATTTTATAACATGCATTTCTTCAGAATAAGGATGGATTATTGAACAGACCAGAGAGCACAGTTTTCAGTACTTCTGATGAATTGTTCTGAAGCCTAATTTTGTTTTTGTCTGAGGGAAGATTTTATTCATTGCAGCAATGGTGTCAGCATTTTCCTTTAAAATGGTGCTAGAATAAGTGGATTTACTTAGGTAAGGGCTGGGCTATCCTTTCTTTGCATCAGGAATGACCACTGTGGGGCGGGCCCAGTGAGAGAGGAACTTAATATATGATCCAAAATAAAGTACCTTGCTTCCTCTTCCCATAAGCGACCTGAGGTGACCTATGAAAATGACTCACTATTCTCTTTACCCAGAAAATTCCACAAAATCATACAAATCAAAAGGGTCAAATCTTCAAGTTTAACAACACCTATGAAACTTCCCAGGCCCTCAAAGGTATGCATATCTGAAAGCCCCCAAGTATCTGAAGGATGTCACATTGAAGAAGCAATGTGTGTCATTCCAGTGTTACAATGGTAGAATAGAAAGTTTGCCCAGGCCAAGCCCTGGGGCTGTACACAGGGTCCGAGGCCTCAAAAGAGTGCCAAATTTTTGCTGCACATGCTTAAAAATGCAGAGTAATGGTGAACTCAGGGATGTAGATGTAGGTCTTCTGGCCATTGAACACATGAAGGGGAACAAACCACTGAAGTTGCACTGCTGTACTTATAGAGCTCATAGCCAGATTAACCCATATATGTACTCCCCTGACTGCACTGAGATGATCCTGACCTAAAAGTAATAAATTGTCCTTAAACCAGAGGAGGAAGTTGCACAGAAGAAGAAGATATCCTAGAAGAAACTAATGAAACAGAAACTTATGGCATGGGGATAAATTAGGGATAATATTAATGAAAATAAAAGTAAAACCAAAACAAAATAAAATCCCTAGATTACATAAGTCTCAGGCCTAGGCTTTCCCATATTTGATTTGATTATTTGGAGGAGATAATGTGATTTGATGCAATTAAATATAAAACTGTAAAAGAAGAAAAAATGAATAGAACCTTTTTAAATAGCCATTCTGATAAAAGTGTAAATTTGAATGTATGTAATGTCCAAAGTATAAATTTTCCTTCTATAACCAAGAAAACACCTTTGCATTTAGGTATTTAGGTCCACCTAGGGTATATCTAAGCTCAGATTTATTATAATAAAAACCTGGAAATGAAGTTCGAGTGGAATTCATCTTCTCTGCAGAATTTTACTGAATCTTAATCTAATAGACATTCATTAATTTTTTTTTAATTTTTTTATTTAAGAGCATATTCTAATTGGGGTCTACTGAAAAAGAAAGTAAATAAAACTAAACTAAACTAACCGCCAACTCAGTATGAAAATAGTTTACATATATATATATATATATATATGAATATAGAACTTTATGTATAAATATACAGATAGATCTCTATTAGTTCACAACTGCCTGAGACTGACATATATTCTTTTATTTTCAGGGGCAAAGGACCACTAAAGCATACAACTGATGTGATCTGTGCAGCTAAAATGATATCAGAGTCAGGATCAAGAATGGATGTTCTTGCTCGGCAGATTGCTAACCAGGTGAGTTATTTACAAATGTACATGGAAAAAATCCTTGCTAGTTACTCTTGGCATTGAAACATTGATTAGAGCAAAGTTGAATTTTTCTCTATTTAATATTTGTCCTAAATTATAATCAGGTTTTATTTTATAACATTAATATGCAAGTAGTGGATCATTATTTTAAGGAAATTTAATTATTTTAGGGGCAAATTTTTAGCTTTAAATATACTCAAACTATTTTGAGAATCACTTTTTCAGCAAGCCTACTGATTTATTTCAATTGCCTATAAGCAAATCAAGATTTTTTCCCCTTGATATTTCAAATTGCTGTTTTTACCCTTCAAAATTAATAACCTTCAATTTCAAAATTTTATTATTTTAGGTTTTTTGGATCTGCAATATATCAGGGCATGCTACATAAAAGTAAGGAACAAATAGCAATTAATTGAATCCTAATGTGAAGCATAAAATGCAGGAAGCATGTAATCCTTAGAGACTGGTGTTTCTAAACACTGATTCCTTTTCATTACTACTTTATTTTATTTATAATTTTATTTGTTTTGGTCTCTCTTTTCTTCTTCATTTATCTAGTTAAGTATTTATAGATTTTATCTTGTCAAATAACCTTTTCATTGATCTTTTATATTTGCTATTAGCCTCTGTTTTTTTCTGCTGTGATCTTTGTTATTTTTTTTCCTTCTTCTAATTTGGAATTTGGTTTATTCTTGCATTTCTAAATCTCTGAGATACATAATTAAGTTGCTAATTTCAAATTTCTAAACCCATTTCTTTCTAATTTTTAAAAATTCTTATTTTTTAAAGTGTAGACATGCATTGACAAAAACCTCTTTCATTATTGCTTTTGCTGCATACCACAAATTTCAGTATGCTCTGCTTCCATTTTCATTTTTCAAGAAAATTGGCTTGTTCATTACTTTTCATATAGCTCTATTTCAATTTTCTAGGTAGCAGATACATTATTAAAGTTACCTTATGCTCAACTTTATTGAAAATCTGTCCATTCCATTATTTAGTGCAATGAGATATTCAATTACTATTTCAGATTGGGGTATAATATTACTTTGCAGACTTTATATTGCATTTAACTTGATAATATATGTTAATTTCACTTTGGAAAATAAAACGCTTTTCTTTTTGACTTTGGAAATATTCTACATTGATTCTTCCTTATATCTTTAGAGGAAAAACTTACTTGGATGCTCCATATTATAATTGCTATTTTCACTCTCTTTTTACTCTATTGGAACATGAAGAACTTTTCTCTACTAGATAAGATATTTGTAAATATAACAAGGGAGAAACAATTAAGGGCTAAAGATAGTACAAAAATATTTTAAAAATCTCTTGAATAAGCATATTGTTCTTATATCTTGTTACTTTAAGTATGATAAAATTTTAATTAATATTTTTAAAGTAGAAATTAACCATCTGTGAACTGAAAATCCAAAATCAGACATATACACAGATTTTTTGGATTACAGAGGATTTGGTTTCAGATTTTCAGATTCAGAATGCTGAATCAGTAAACTCTATGCAAATTTTCCAAAAAAGTAAAAACAATAAAATTTGAAACACTTTTGGTCCCAAGAATTTCAGATTAGGTATGTTGAAGCAATATTTAGTATGTATGGCTAAAACCAGAACGTCTCCTAATGAATCAAATTTTTGTGTATGAGGATATATTCTCAGAATTTTCCTTATTTTAGATTTTTTTGCATTCATTTTCATGAAATTTCAAGTAAATTTCAAGTAAAATTATACTCATTAGACAGATTTATGTGTACTAAGTAGTGTTTAAATACTGTATACTTCCTACCATTGTTCTTCTGATTGTTTTGGAATATGAAACTATGAAAGTTCAAATGATTATTTCACTTTGAAGGTTTTTATTTCTAGTATTATTATATTTTTAATTTTTTAGATCATTTTCAGTATGTGCTTTTGTAACATAGTTTTATGAAATTATGCCATTGTTTTTAGCATTATTCAAATTGTATTTCCTCACCTCTCTATAGCTTTGCCATTTTAGAAGCATTTTAGGAGAAGAATTATGAATTATTGTTTGGCCATTTCTATTTTATGTGGTAAGGTCATTTCAAGCGAATCAAATCTGTTCTGAACACATAGTGTTCTGAAGAATCAAAACTGAGAATAAAGATAATGACTCAGTAACTATAGTGACCATCATGCAAAATTGTCCATGAATGTACTTCTGATTTTGTTTGACAGATTAACATAAAGATTTTAGACATTAAATCATAACTGAAATCAGTTGTAAAAATCAATTTGGTAATATAAAGAGGGCAATTTTCATTTTCTATACACATTATTAAATAATTTTCTAGGGCTGTCTCAATTATTAGATTAGTTGCTGTCTAGATTTATCAATCTAATTTAAAATTTTCAACAATTTTATGATGCTTCCTAGTGTGCATTTTTTTCTGGAGGGTCAGAAGGTCAACCAGCAATTAATTTTCATTCCTACCTAGAATAAACTTCAAATGTATAAAATACACATGATAGTGTAGTGTAGTTCATATACACATTGTTAGTAAATTTAAGTTTAATTATATACAGTTTCAAAGTTCAGATGTTCAGAGAATGAAATGAATCAGTTTATTTGAGCCTTCTAATTCTGCTTACCTGTCCTTTCTTCTTCTTTCTTTTGACTCTTCTCTACCTTGCTCCTATGAACATGTATTTGTTGTATATGCCAGGTGCAATTCACTACTTGACAATTATTTATAAGTAGCTGGAAAGAGAATTAAAGCCTTCTGTTTATTTGTAATTTGTATATGTTATTATTTATTATATTCATTTGTAATACACATGTATTATTTTTAAATTACAAACAAATATATGAGGTTCAGTCTAATAATTTTCTGCATGTATTCATTATATAATAATTGAATCAGGATAGTTATATACCTATCTTCTTAAACTTTTTTTTAAAGTTATTATTATATAATAGTTATTTATGCGGCACAGTGTAATAAAACCTTCCATTTAAACATACATTGAACTCAGTTCAGCTTATTTTTCTCAATCTCCCCAAATATCTTGACTTTAGAAAAGTCTTAAGATGGTTTAGTTTAAATATGCAATATGAGGCATGTTTGTTTAAGTCCTGTAGAACCCTGGTACACATTTTGTCTTCATTAGACATTATAATCTTGAAGGACAGAATGTTTTTAGTTATCAAAATTCTTAAACATGTTGTTTATGAATAAACACAAGGATGGAGAAGTGGAATATAAATCTAAGAGTCCAGACTCCCTGTACACATTTCTCTCTGTTCCTTCACACCTCACTGTAATTTGCCAGTTTAGCAGATATTCTAAGTTTGATGAACCAACTAGAACCTATAGCATAAGAATGATTCACAGAAAGAGTTCCAATAGTTACAGAAACAATATACCCCCAATTAAAATGGAGATGAATAGGAGCCAAAACTAAAATTAACATCTGCTAAAATGTGTTGCACAAGAAGAGAATAAAATTAGAATTTCTGACTGCTCTGTGGTGTATATGAAGCCTAATTACACCTTCACTGCTATTTTGTCACAGCAAAGGTATCCAGGCAATTGACCAGGCACTTACACCTAATCATAATTTAAAATCATTTTTAGTGTAAAATGCATTGACAGTTAATACAAATTCAAAGGGAAGGGGAAATGGGAGGGGTAGGGGAAAGAAAGAAGGGGATAGAATTAATACTAGAAAAAGAAAAAATGGAAACAAAGGGAGGGGTGAAGGGGTTGAAGGAAGGGCAAGGGAATGGGAAAAAATAAGAACCAAGACGGATTATGTAAAGGTGCAAATTTCCAATGATGAATGTCATTATAGTGTGTACCTTAAATGTAACAATACAATTAATAAAAAACAAGGAAGTACAACCAAAATATACAATACACTCAATAATGAATAAAACAAACTACACATGTTATTTATATTGATATAATATTGCTTGTAGCCAGCCTCATTTGAATTGCTTCAGCTATATTTAGTCAAAATTTTTGTTAAAATAAAATTACTGAAAACAAACATCTGTATCTTTCAACATGTTTATTACATATCATTTAAGGATGTACATCATGAAATTTTGTGTTTATTAATATCATTATTGATCTGAAATATATTTCAAGCATGAATTTTGGTGTATAGATTTGTTCTCCAGATTAATATACTCCTGTTTTATAAAAATAAATGTCTAACAGCTTCTCAGGTATTAAATACAACTAAAGTTGGGAATTTAGCTCAGTGGCACTGAGCCTGCCTCACAAGGACAAGGTCCTGAGTTTGATCCCTGGTACTAAAAACAAACAAATATCATAAGTAAATATTGAAATATTTTATCTATTTGCATCTTTCAAGTAATACTCAATCTCTTGCTCAGAAGGATATTTGCTTACTGTTATTCCCTTTTATCCAATCTATTGGTTTTCCATTAAAACAGTATCTTCAGTGTTGTAAGGGTGATTATATATTAAGGTGAATATGATGTATGCAAAGCTGTGGCCTCAAGAAAAAAGAGGTGTTGTAGATTGTAGGGGAAAATGGGTTCTTTTGTTTTTGGAGGGAAAATGGATGAGGAAGGTTTCTCCTGACAGCTGGCTATTTTTAACAATATTCCAAAATACATAGAATTTACTTGAGCTATCTTGCTACCATCCTTTCCACATCCATATTCTATGTGCAGAATAATGCATTTTTGTAAGTTTGTTTTAACCCAGGAAATTCATAGGTTGACAAATTTCAGCCATTAGAGAGAAGGTGATATTTTTAGTTATAATCAATTACTTAGACAATTTATTCTTTCTGAAAATTTCTCATATACATTATCATAAAACACAAAAATAGACCGAGACTATTTTTCTTTACATCTTCCAGAGGAAAGAAGTTTTGGTGAAAAAGAAAATCATCTTTGTCTTTAATTTGTATTAGTGTCAAGATATATGACATTTTCTTAATGGCTGTAACACCAGGTTGAAACTAAA